AATTCTCGCCATGCCATCGTATTTAGTGTATTGTTATCGATGCTTACAGCTAGTTATCCTCGCAGGAAGGAAAATTTGTGTTCTTAAATATGCGTTAAGTGACAGCAAGTACAATAAGAGTGAAATACTAAGATAAACTGCTGAAGCACGTCCTATTCATCGTCTTCCCACAGTATCCACTAATGGGGGGGGGAAACGTAACCAGCAACTTTACATTCATCCTTAGGAGTCAGATTCAGAACTCATTTCACCCCTTACACACATCTACTTTATGGCTATAATTATATCAGCAGAGTCCCGTGGTCAAAGAGAACGTTCTCTCTCACCAAGATTCCTCTCATTTTTTGTTTCCACCCACTTATACCCTCATTCTGTTTTGCCCTGGAATTTTCATCAGCTATAATTTAAGTATATTTAATTTGTTTGTGATGATAAAAGAACTTCCCCCCTACGATTAGAGCTTAAATTGGGCCGGAGCCCACCGGGTCTCGGCTCCGGTGCTTCTTAGTTTCAGTAATAAATCATAATTCTAGCCGGAACGCACAGGAGCCCTGAATAAGAAGGCTGCGGCACTTTTTTATGTAACTGAATAACAATTTCAATAGAAATTTTATCTTGAAAATTTTATTTAAACAATAAAATTATATTAAAAACCGCGTATTAAATTTCAATTTATCTCTTTGCATTTTATTTAATTACTTTAATCGTGAATTATTTCAACAATTAATAATAAATTATCTAATAATTACCAATTAAATTATAACTAATTAATTATATAATAATTATTGGTTAAATAACAATTTATAACATTAATTATATAACTATCAATTAATTTGATAATAATTAACTCTAATTTAAAAATTATTAATGAGTTTAATAGTCATTTTATTTATTTATTTACTCTTGTTTCTCTTTGCTGACAGTCTTCCATAGGGCTCCGGTACTTCTAATCTTAGAAATTAAGCCCTGGCTGTAAAGGTTTTGAATAAAATCTTTTCCCCAAATATTGATGTGCTTTTGCACATAGGCACTACACTGCCGATAACATCTTGCGACTGTGAACTTTCCGCAAGTGCTTTGAAAACGTTAGAAAATTATAATAAAGCTACTATGACGGAAGAGCGCAGAAATTCTTTAGCATCAATACGTATTCATTATACCAAAGAAAATATCATTTGACAAATTTACTGATATATTTACCAGTTTACAGCCACGGAAAATTGAATTCGGGAATATTTTAACCGCCGAACCAAAATAAAAGGCCAGAAAAATGCTTGCCTTCTTTTTTTTTATTTGCAATTTAATTTTATGTCCAAAATAAAAAAATGCATTTACAACTTTTATGTATTTAATTCACTACATTTATTATATAATTATATAGAGCATAAATATTGAAATTATATATTTATTTATAGTTGTATTAAGAAACCACAGTAAGATGGATTTCAAAATTTTTTTAATATTTTTTGTTTGTATGTGAGTGCGTACATCAGAAAGGAAAGTAAAATACTAGAAGTACTTTTACTAGCATTATTCTATTTTTGTTATTTATATTTCGTTTTTAAAATTGCTCTAACAAAGGTTAAAGCGGTTAAGGTGAAAAAGAAAAATAATTAGTTACGCAAATTAATATGTCTGTGAGGTAATAATTATGAATACGATAATTAAATGGAATATATCCATAATTATGTTACATAATGATATTATTAATACAATTTATAATATCATTATTAATAATATTAAGATAACTGCCATTAATATAATATATTCGTCACGTAATAATTACCTATATACTTGAAGATGCTGAAATGGGTAGAACAGTATAGCCATAGGAGTCATAATTTGGTGATTTGATTTCACAATAAAAATGGAGATATGAAAAATTAAACGAATTGTCTTCCGATTTTTGGTCTTTGATTGGGGGAAAATTAAAGACCAAAGGCCATTGGGGTCAGGTCATTTAAAGGCTGCAGCTTAGCATTTAAATACTATAAATGCTGCAGAAACTAACAGAAATACCTAATTTCAAAAATTGTATTAAAATGCTTAAAAAATTAGTAGGATAGCTAGACACTTTAATGGAGATTTTTAAGCCTTGTAATTGAAAACAGTTAAATTACTATATGCGTCATTTTTAATATACTGAACTATGATTAAATACTGTTATAATATTTATGCTATTATATTATTCCAAGTAGTTACATTTACTGAATGTAAAAGGGTTCACTGTAGATATCTTGTACTGAGTATATAATTTCTTCAAATGGCCAGGCACCTTGCATTGCATATTGGTATACGCATTTACCTCTTTGCCTCAGGTGAAAAAAATAGGTAAAACTGGATATTATGGTCCAGTTTGGCGCGTTTTCAAAAAATTGTCAAGTCGCCAAATCGGTTGTTTTCGCGCATTTTAGAAAATCGCTAACTTATCATATCGCCATATTAGATGGTTGCGAATTTGAAATTAATTCTGTAAACATGCAAAAATATCTAAAACAGGTCTTCAAGAAAAACGGCGAAAAAGGGACAAGTGCAGAATCACCCACTGCTTGGTGCGTTTTTAAGAATTGCACATTCTTCGTATCCATGTACACATCGACCGATATTCACTTAAAAAAACATCCCAGAATTGCACAAAAATGGCATTGCGCACTCCCTTGACTTTATCCATGTACACATCGACTTATCTTCACTTAAAAAGTCAAAGAAAATTGACAAAAATCCAATTCTTCTTACTCTTGTAAAAAGCGCCAAACAAATAAGTGGGCGATTCTGCACTTTACCTGAAGTATGTGAAAGTTAACAACTATGTATTTCATACGATACACAATTAAAAGTTTTCATAATATCATATACCATTTTTAAGACAGTAGCAAAATAGAGTAAGCGTTTTATCACGAAATTTAAGAAATTGTAATAAGCAGTAAATGAGCAATAAATGATCGGAAAGTATTGATTCGTATTTAAGCCAAGAGGTTACCAGATTTGGCGCGATTTCGCTTCACTTGGCGATTGGACCGTAATCTCCAGTCCAGCCAAAAAAAAATGTAGGCACATCTGTGGTTTCATCTTTAGTCCTTTTTTCCCATATGAACATAATTTTCTCCTACACACTATAATGTGAAAACACCAGTCGGAAAAACACAAATGAAATCAGCAGGATATCTTGCAGAAAAATACTACCCCATCTCCTATAAGCAATATTAAATACACAAACTTTAAAATTTAAACTTGCTTCTTACATTCAAAAGGATTACATTTGGATGTTGTTAGCCAAAGAAATCAGTGATGCTTTTCTCTGTATACACCACTGCTGAAGCTCCATGAATAAATGTTTTAGTACACTTTATGAAAAAATATCTACATACACATTTATAGCTAATATTTAAATTTTCACAAGAATATAAAGCTATATTTATTAAATTATAAATAATACTCAATATAATAAATAAATCAATGACAAATTTATTTTTCATAAAAGAATTGCACTCAAAATGTGTATAACAAATATATCAAGGCACACAATTTAGAGAGAAATTTCAAAAGAAAATTCCAAAGCTCCTTTTATCCATAATTAAGAAATTTTCTCTACCCCCCCCAAAAAGTATCATGACCGAAAGCATTTCTAAACTGTAGTAACAGATTTGTTACCAGAAAACCATGAAACCTGCATAATGAAATGACGTTTTCCAGTTTTTAAATGCATCATTGCAAATTATGCTTTTAATAAAATTAAGAGCATTTTAATACTTAGATAACATTGTAAAAATTTTACAAAATGAATTCAAAGTAATTTAAATTTCAGAAACTTAAAAATGTCCTTTCTTAAAGTTAAATATATTAACTTTTAACATAGGTTAAACCTATCAGGATAACTTAACAACCTCTTTTTCAATTTAAGCTTATAAAACAAAAACTGATTTTAATGTCAAAGCATGTGCTTCTGCTACACAAATTATAAGATAAGAACTAAGGAATAGTGAAAAATATATCCTTTTTCTGGAGTTTGATAAGGTTAATATAAGACAACTGGTATGAAAGTAAAATTCAAAGTGATTCAAAGCACACATTATAATATATAAATAATGCTATTTCTTTCCATGTAGATGCAATATAATCAAATATCTGAAAGGCACTTCATTTCTGGTATATGAAAGAAAGAGTTACAAAGTTATTTATTGTATTCTTCATTATTTAAGACAGGGCAGGTATTAATTGCTAACTATTATTAAATCAGATGAATATACATTACATATTCAAAAGTTATGTTTTAAAATAAATATCAACTACCTGGTTAAAAAATGTTTTATAAGATATTCTTTCAAAAATTTTTTTAACCATAATGAAAAATATTTACATATTTTATAATGAAAATGTGGTTAGTAACTATAAAAATAAAGCATGTATATCAAAATTTGTAACATTGTTAGCAAACAATTTATATTAACTATAAAACTAATTTTTATACTGAAAAGTATAAAATTAGCTTCTTACTTAAAAGATTAATTTTTTGAGTCTGATTTAATTCAATTTATAGATATTACAACTTTTTAAACTTTGTATACAAGATTTAAAATATTCAAAGTATAATAAGAAACACTTTTTTGGGACAATTTTCTTTGAAGATAAACACATTCATGTGCAAGATTTTCCAATATATTTTTTCCTAAACATTCTTAACTAAAAACACTTTTATACACACATATACATATATTGAAAGCTTTATGCACTAAAAATTTATATATTTTTCTCAAAACTTCCATTAAAAGTTTAAGATACTTTTATTTAATAATTTAAGTTTATTTAACTATAAACAGTAAAAAATCGAAAATTAATAATCAGAAGCCAAAATTACAATGAAACTACTTAAAACTGACTATACAAAGCAGAAACTGATAAAACAGAAAAAGTAGAGAAAATTAATTTTTCTCTTAAAAACAGGTTTGTCTGAAGCAATAATTTCAGTTCGATCCCATCAAAACCATTTCAGGTATACTCCATTGGAGAGTCAAAATACATAATTTTAATTAGAGCTCTTATTTCTAATCGTACACAATAATAATAATTTATTATAAAACCTGATTGCACTAACACTTATAATAACTTACACACTTAAGACATTACGAACAAAACTTGCTAAACCTCTAAGAAGCATACAATGACATTTGATAGTAAAGCATTATATATTAAAAAAAGTATAAAAACATTAAAATATATCAAGAAATCTAAACATTGAGTTTTTTAAAATATAAAAACAGATGAAAGAGACTGAATTTGATCTAGTATAAAAAAATATGATGAACACAAATAATATTTCTTAGGAATTTAATTTTGGTTCAAACTGAATGAATGGAGATAAATAAAATCCTACTACATTTTTCAGCGAGAGATCATAATTTGGCACCGGCACAACAAAAGATGTTTTGCACTCAGCATCTGAGTAACAACTGCTGCAGTATGCTTCTTTTAAATGAAACTTTGGTAAGGTACTACCAATATTTGACTCTAATGTACCAATTACATGTAGAGAGTCTCCTTCTTTAAGGCTGCGAATGAAAGATGAACATGCATGATCAGCATATAATATGATTTCTGGAGAAGTACGAGTTGATACTTCTAGTATTATTTGATATTTGTATTCATTCCAATTATGCAAGTGGCAGTCACTAAAATTAAATGTTTCATGCAATTTGCACTGTTCTTTTTCAGCCTGTGTCATCACTTCAGCATCACAATGAATATATTTCTTACCGAGAAGACACACAAACCATTTATGAAAGGGATTTGGCAACATGTTTGCAATTACTTGCACAGAATTGTGTACCTCTATTACATCAATTCCTGTAATTGTTCCTTCAACAGATACTTTTCTGCCTTTCAAAGGTAAACAAGATATCTGGACTTCCGCAGGATTAGTACGATACCAAGCATGGTGGTGACAATATGTTTGATATTTATCCCAAGACAAAACTGAACTTGAATCGTTCTCAAGATTCAATGCTTGAGGCTTAGCTGCACGATACGATAACAACAAAATAATCAAACAGATAACTAAAGACCATAATTTATTATCATTTGAAATTTTTAATTTTTTTACTATTAGTAAACTAATTGCATACAAAATTGCAAAAGTTAAAATTAAGGGAATAAATTCCAAGCTAATTAAATTTGAGATACACACAGCTTTGATAAATGAATACAAAACAAATGTCAAAAAGGTACCAAGATAATAAGACACAACTAGGACAATAAGCCAAGTAAATAAACTAAGAATTAGGTCATTGGAAGAGTCGACCAAATGGATGCAGGCCAAATTCATCCACGTAACAGACATGAGATGCGGAAGCAGTACAAGATGCCAACCTTTACGCTCACTGCCAAGAGCCATTTTTGTATACAAATATGGCAAAACAAATGGTAAAGCTAAACAAGATATAAAACTGATATGCAACTGAAAATTTTTTCCTAATTCATAAGTTATATCAAAATTCAAGAAAGAGAGTGAACTAATAAACATGTTCTGCAAAATATTTACCTTAAAAAGACATGCTAAGGCATTTAGAAACAAAGATATATTCACAAAATAACGCTGATCAGTAACTGTCCTATCTACAAGCAACATAAGTATAAGACTTAAAATTCCTAAGTCATTAAATAGTTTGGGGGTATGATTCAATGGCAATATTATTATATATATTAAAGATATGACAAGAAATGTCAGCAAAGGAAAAGAAGTTTTCATTAAATATTTTTTTTCAATTTCATTAGATTTAATATTAGGCTCAAAGAATTTTATCAAATGCAGCCATTTCTTCATATTATCACTGCCAAAACTGACAGAAATAACAAAACATGTGCTTGACAGCATTGTTAACAAACATAAAAGCGTTGCAAAAAATATCTTAGCATTATTTACAGCACTTATTTCATTTGCAGAGGAGAAAGCAGAATAAATTTCAAACAAAGCACCCAGGAAAAAAACTGAAACTAACAAAACTAAGCTTGAAAGATTCTGAAGCAGATCTCCTAGAGACTTAAAAAGGATATCCCACAGTAGGTATACGTACTTTGTGGGAAGCCATTTCTTAAGCTCACTGTATTGAGCAACTTGTTTCAAAGACACAAGAGGTACATTACCTTCTAAACAGGACTGAACAGAATTAACAACTTCACTGAATGACACATGAGCTTGGTTTCGGAGAGAAGTGTCACCAGTTGTTTTCATAATTGGTTCAGCACAACTAACTGGATCATCTTTACATGTTTTTGTTGATTTTTCACAATTTTCTGATTGAATAACATGTTCAACCTTTTCACGGAAAACATCCTCGGGAATAAGCTCTTCTGTATCACTCATAATTGCGTGAAATACAGCAAACGCAACTCTTCTCGATACTTTGTCTTCGTAACTGAATTTCAGGCACTTTTCGACTTCTAGACCGTTTGCAGCATTTACTCCTATTCCGGCACTAGCACACTTTTTCAAAAGTTCACAGGCTTCTTCTTGTCCTTTCTTGGCAGCCTGAAGCAACCAGTAAACCGCTAACTGAGCATTAAAATTACGCTCTTCCGCAGTACTCACAGGGCTATACAATAACGTCTTTGCCAATGAAACTTGACTTTCTTTGCAACCGTCTTCTGCTAATATGTGCCTCAATCGAAAAGTCCCATGATTTTCCTGAGGTAACAGTAATGTTCTGGAAATAGTACCACTGTGACGTTTTTCTGGCATCGTGTGGGGTGTATTTTTTTTCGTTGCATGAACCAATTCAGAGCAAGAATAAATATAACCTGAATGAATCTTAAGGGGCATGTAAGGAGAGAAACGACAGCTGCGCTCTAAAAATAAAGCACATTGACAACACTAAACTCGTCTGCTCTTAAAAATGTTGCCAAATTTCATATTCTCTAAAAATTACACCATTTAATTTTGAGATGTGGCTTGACAATTGCACAATATGCTTTTATGACAACTAACATATAATTATTCATATTATTAAGAGTTACCTGCTTTTTAAGAGGCAAAATGTTTCAGTAAAATTAAAAAAATAGAACGCAAAAAACTTATAAATCTAAAATAAATTTTCAAACATTGTTTTTGGCACCATCGTATTTTTAATGAGAAAATAATAAACCGTTTAAAGTAAGTATCATCATTATTATTTTTCAATTAAAAATATTTTTTTATCTTTGCATAGAATCAGATTTTCATAAAAATAATCGTGCTGAAGTGAAGCGGTAAACAGAGAATGTTGTGATTATTGTTGTGGTTGGGGTAAATAGTACGCTCATTGGTTGGGGTGCGCGTTCTTCGAAACGGTAGGTGTGAACATATTAGTATTTTTTCCATAATTGAATGCAATCATTCAGCTTGTTTTCCATTTTCTCTATGTTTAAGGCCCACTTATGATCATTTTGTTCACGTTGGGTACATGGAAATGTAAGTTTTTGAGGTTTTTTCCTTCTCATTGGAAAGAGAGTCTGTTGTAAATAATTTATTGTCTTTACATTTTTGTACTATCACAGATGAATCCTACAGTCTAGTGAAAAAAAAAAAGTTAGTTCGCTTATATGTACTTATCTGTACGAGACAGTAATGTATTGATTCCATAATGCCTCCTTGCAGCTTTTCTGAAGTTTTTGACGCGCACATTTATTTATTAAAGAATTATATTTGGTTTTTTATTTGTGCTGCATAGTTGTCTTCGATAATGCATATGACATTTACTGTGTATTTCTTCTCGATTATTCAGCTTTATTATGAGTATTTAATATTTGTAATTAAAAAAAAATCACACTGATCTGCTTATAAAAACTTTTTCCCGGCACTGAAATTTTTTCCCCCTTATAGTTGCACACGTTGAATTCAATTATGAGTTATAGCTTACCTCATTTATTTTTAACCACCACCCGCCTCTTTCAAGGGAGCCAAATAAGTTGTGAAGTTAAAACTCAACATACAAATGATATTACAGATGATCATTTTGTGGTCACCAGATTTTTTCCATATATATCAGTATAAAAACATGAAATGTATGGAAATTTAATCAGTCGTTATTATCTGCACTTTACACAAAAACAGATTTATGAAAAATAATATATAATATCATTTTAATTTTATTGAATCTTTTCACTAATTCATATAAAAGTGTACTGGCAGTCAACCATTAAATTTAAACTTCATTTTCTTCTGCATTCCATTTCCATATGTGCAGTATCATGATGAAATGTTTTATCATACTTGTATACAGTAGGTCCTGAATTTTAAGAAAAAAATCAAAGTGAAGGAAAGGAAATATTTCAGCCTAAGGTTTACTAGTGTGAAAGAAGTTTCGTTATGTAATCCTTTTAGAAATCTTCATAGGAATATGCAGATTTTTTTTTCTGTAAAATTTGCCACAGACTATTTCAGACATGTTCATTTTTTAATTCTACTTAAGCTGTGTGAACTTGTGATTTCTGAAAGTTTTCTTAATTTTTCATCCAATAAAAATTCCTGTTTGTATCTTAGGCAAAAAATTTCTCATTTAAGTAAGAAAATCATCTTGTTGTGTATCCATAGATTGAAACAGCAATTTACTGAGATCCAGATTAATATGAAATGCAGATCTTTCTAATCTTCTAAGGCTTCATGTACTGCATTCTTATTTGTACATTTTCATATATGTAATAATTGTAACTTTCTCAACTTTTTTATTTGCATATCTGCATATATTTTATTTGCTCAACTATATCTGTCCATTAATACATACTTTTTATTATTGTAAGATCCCGTAACTTTTGAAAATGGCTGTGATGTAGAATTGAGTGCCCCTTCGAGCAGCGACAAATTTGGTTCAGTTTTAGTGATGAAACCCCATGTCTGGTTATTATGATGGTTTTAACTTGGTTTCAGCTTTCATTGCTGTCACGTTAGGCTTACTGTAACTTTGTATTAACCTCATATGACGTTATCATTTGCCTGAATTTTTTAAAGTGAAAATAGATCAATGTGTACGTGGATGAAGTCAGGACAGTGCACAATGCTAACTTTGTGCAGTTCTCTGATTTTTTTTTTTTTTAAAGTGAAAATAGATTGATGTGTACATGCACACTGAGTTTGTGCAATTTCTTGACTTATTTTGTTTTTGTGTAGTAGACATCTTGAAATTGGGCCTTCCTGGCGCCGATCTTGGTGTAAAATAACAATCGCCAAAAAGTGAGGGGTAACTAATTGTAAACTTTTACCTTGAAAATAATTCATAACTTGCTGTTCTATTAAAGATAGGTCCCAAATTTTAATCATTTTTTTCAAAATGAAACGCATGGCAGTAATAGCTAATTTATATCCTTGTTTATAAAAATAAAAGGTAAAAGTATATTTACGGGCACCCCTTGGTGAAAATTGACGATTTTTGGCAGCACATGGATGCCGAGTTTGTGGAATTCTCTGACTTATTATTTTGGCTTGTGTAGTGGCGATTTTTGCTACAAAGCCAAAATAATAAGACAACGAATTGCACAAACTCAATATCCATGTAAACATCTACCTATTTTTACTTAACAAAAACCGGAGAAATGCACAAACTAGGCATTGCGCACTCCCTCGACTTTGTCCATGTTCACACCACACTATATTCACTTAAAAAGTCAAAGGAGCAGCGAACAAAAAAATAATATAATCTCAATAAACAACATTTTAAATCTAACAATGAAATAACATAAAAAAGGAAGTTGATCTGTCAGCACTAACCTTATCTTCAGGGCAGATGTTTTTATTTTATTCGACTTATAATTCCTTACTAAATGTAGTATTTCATCTCAATGTACTCTGTCTTTGATATGATTTAAATCAAATTCCTCGTCATTATAAATATCATGAATACACGTCAAATAGTTTTCTGGTTGCAATTTTCTAATTTCGACCATGCGTAATGTATGCTTTACGCATGCGCGCGTTCAAAGAAATGTGTAATAAAGTATACAAATAAATATTAAGCTTTTTTTTTTTTTTGTAAATTTTTGTAAATTTTGATACGCTTTAGATTAAAATTGCTCTTTATTTCATAAATTATGGTTTCATATTTTTAATTTCTGCATGCCATCTTACCAGATTAAAACTGATGATCTATAATCCAGAATCGCCGAAGTCCCGACAAGTCTGGAAAAGACTTTTGACTGTATTATTCGTGGTTGATCTTTACTGTACGGTACCCCTTGCTTTGTGTGAGAAAAAATCGCCAAGTGGTATTGGTTGTTCTTGAAATCTGGAAGCCCGCTGCATGAAATAGGTTTTTCGTTAACCCTAATGTTGATAATATTGGCGAAACTATCCTTGGGGAAAATTGCGCAGATATCGCCAAATGTCATAAATTGAGATTCTGGATATTTTTTGTAATAGTAACCCTTTCGTATGGACCCTTTTTTTTTATTCTTAGCATTTTTTTCGGTTGATCTTTACAATATGGTAACTGGTAGTTTGGCGACATTTTGGAGGCGATAAAGGTTACTACCTGGCACTTTGGTAATAATGTGAGCAGTACTCAGTTCCGATTACGCATTATTTTGTGTGAGGGAAATGAGAGATCATGGGATATGTCATGTGATATTAATGGACGAATTACGGTTCTTTAATCGGAAAAAAAGGGGGGAAATCGGGAAAAAATCTGGAAATTTTGTATTTGGCTTTATTCTGTGTGGTGTGAAACAGTGTTCGTGAATTTTTGGATCCCATGGCCGTAACTAAAGTGAATTCGAAATGGGGTATTTATGTATGTATTAATTTAATGTATGTGCTCATTTATATTTTAAGTAGTGTTTTTGAATTTAATTATATTTTAATTAAATGATATTATTTGTGAATTTTATGTTTGTAGGAATTTGGTATACGTTTTAGTTGAAGTAAACGTGCATGGAAATAATTTAAATATCTGACACTAAGTATTTGTAATGGTTGTGGTATGAATTCGTTGGTGACGTGTATAATGTAATAGATGATTTAGAGGTAAAAGTTTTCGGATATTTTATTTATTTTATATGTGGAAATGTTCATTACTTTTTCGCGATTAGGTAATTTCATATATGTTCTTTTTACCGGGTTTAAAGATTGAGAAAATTGTCATGTATTTTCGTGAAATTTTTCTAATTTATGAGAAAAAAGCAGTGTACATGGATATAGTGAAGAGTGTGCGCAATGCCATTTTTGTGCAATTCTGGGATGTTTTTTTAAGTAAAAATAAGTCGACGTGTACATGGTTTAGTGATATTTTAATTAAATGATAGTTATTTTGTGAATTTTATGTTTGTAGGAATTTGGTACACGTTTAAGTTGAAGTAAACGTGCATGGAAATAATTTAAATATTTGATACTAAGTATTGGTAATGCTTGCGGTATGAATTCGTTGGTGACGTGTATAATGTAATAGATGATTTAGAGGTAAAAGTTTTTTGGATATTTTATTTATTTTATATGTGGAAATGTTCATATTTTGGAAAGGGTAAATACTTTTTCGCGATCAGGTAATTTCATATACGTTCTTTTTACCGGGTTTAAAGATTGAGAAAATTGTCATGTATTTTCGTGAAATTTTTCTAATTTATGAGAAAGAAGCAGTGTACATGGATATAGTGAAGAGTGTGCGCAATGCCATTTTTGTGCAATTCTGGGATGTTTTTTTAAGTAAAAATAAGTCGCCGTGTACATGGTTTATGTGTATGTGTTATTTTGAAAAACGCGTAAGGAGTATGGTATTGTGCACTTTTTCCCAATTTTGCAGTGAATATTTGTCATGATTAAGCAGTTTTTTGTTATATAAAATTTCAAGCATAAGTGTAATTCGGCTAGTAGATTGTTGGAAGAAGTGTTCAGTAGATAAAAAGAAAAGAAACATGTCTTTACTTCGTGAAGACAAAATGGCGGTGGGAAAAAAAAATAGAGGGTTGCTGTAGGAGAGTTGGTCGCCAAATTTTCGCCAAAAAAACGCCAAGTTACCATAATGTAAAGATCAACCTTTTTTTCAGTTGCTATGTTTGGGTGCACATGCATAATGTTTTATGAAAGTGGTGTCTGAAAGGTCGTCTGAAAGTTTGCTTAGTGTTATAAATGCGTATGTTCTTCTGGATACGATTGTAATTTCTGACTGTTGGAAGGCGTACAATTGCCTTTCAGGTGAAGACTTTGGGCACTTAACAGTAAATCATAGTCTGCAATTTAAGGATCCGGATACAGGTGCTGACATTAGTAAAATAGAAGGAATGTGGTGTGTAGGTAAATGTGGTTTAGCCAGGAGAAAAACGAAGAACAGCTTGGACTATTATTTGGCCGAATATGTGTGGTGCAAGAAGGTAGAGGGGGGAATCTATTTATGGCTTTCTTGGATGCGATTAACAGCGGATGAGTCGAAACGACGAAAAATTGAATTGAATTGTTTTACGTGGAGGATGGAGGAGATGGTGGTGGAAATCAGAAATGCATGCACATTGACAAAAAGGTATCTTAAAAAATTGCCATTTCATTGATTTATTCATCTCTGTGTGTTAATTTTTGTTAAAAAAGATTTGTTGTTTAATGTTTTTTATGTTAGGAAATATGTATTTTTGGTTATTTATTACTTTCTGTTTGTGTAGTTTTGGTTATTTGTTCATCTGTGTGTGTTAAGGCAGTGGCAAATTTTTTCTGGTTAACATGATAATTTTAACTTTGTTTTAGCTTCCTGATTTTGTTTAAGTGAAAATAGATTGGATGCATACATGGAAAAAGTTAAGGCAGTGTGCAGTACCTAGTTTGTGTAATTTTTTGTTAGGTTAAAATAGGTCGATGTGTACATGGACACTGAGTTTGTGTAAGTCTTTAACTTCTTGTTTTGGTTCTGTTTAGCGAGTATAAGGATCAGCACCATCTTGAAATTGGTGCCGATGGTGCCAAACTTGGCATCAAAAAGGAGACGATTCGCCAAGGGGTACCGTAAATTTTAACCTTATTCTTTTCCTGATTTGTATCCTTGCAAAATAAAGTGCATTGTTTATGAATGTAAAATATATATTGTTTATTCAACTTTTTTATTTTATATTTTAATTGTTTAATAAATCAAAATATGTACTGTTTATTCAACTTTTACATTTTATTTATTTAGTAAATCAAAGTGCAAAGAAATATTGAAATGTTTTAATATTAGCATGTGCATGTATCATTGATCAAGCTATTGTACTACTTAAGACACATATTAACAAAATGTATTTGCTTGTGCCTTCAAGGCACAAGCTTGTAAATTTTGTAAACGTTATCAAAGATTTCTATTCTCCATGTGGCCAGTTATTAGAAATATAACTTTTTTTTTTGTTTTCTTGCATTGTATAAAAAGTATATATTAATACTTAGTTTGATTCACATATCTAGTTTTTTCAAAGATGGGAAATTTAATATTTCAGAAATATCAGATTCATGTAGGACAACCTGCTTTCCATAAGTAAAATTTAATTTTAATAGTTAAAAATATCAGTAATTACAAACTGTTGCACCACGTGTAGCTCCAAAATTTCTTTTCTGTGGCCCCAAAACACATTTTTAGCACACTTTTGTATATATATCTAGTTCATCAGATTTATATTTTGTACCATTGTGCCAAATGTAATTGTTATAATGTGCTTTAGCTGTATGTTTACTATTTTCTTTAAGAAATTTCATCTCTGAATTATGCTTTCCATATATTATGTTCAGTATTATTAAGTTGCAGTTTTTTCATCTGTTGTATGACATCAAAAGGATCTCTTGTCTAATTACAAAGAGCATTAGTTATATCATTAGTGTATTTAAATAAAGCCCAGGAGCTCATTTTAATGCCATTAAAAAGGTCAAAATACTCCTTGTAGTAGTAGTAAAAATAAGCATTTAGGCTTCTTGGAGAGAGAGGTATATCAGAAGCTGCAAATGGCTATCATAGTCATTTATGATCTATTAACTTCACTATTAATTAAATATTTACCTTCTAAACATCCACTGTGTGTATTGTTTGGTATCTAAATTTATTTTAATAGAATTAATTGCTTTAAATATTAATTGCCTTGGTCAGTTAAAAGGAAAACCAAATTGTGAAGAAAGCTTTCCCCTTTGTAAAAAAGTGCTTAAAAATGAGTTCTTAGGTGAATCTGCGGGAACTAATCACCTTAAATTCATCATATTTATGAATCATGACACAATAGTCTATGAAGTATTTTGTTTTATTTATTGCTATTAAAAATTTAGTACTGTGCATCTGGATGCAAATGTTTCATTATTAAAAAATTACTTTTTCATTCATTTTAGGATCCTGAAATTGTGTAATGTATGGTCAAAATTTATGCTCTATGAGGAAATATTTCGTCATTCAAAATGAGTTCATCTGTTGACTTAGGTATGGCATTGTAAAAAATTCAAAAGTTTGCAATTATTCTATATAAAAGGGGTGTAGGAAAGGTAATTGGTAAATAAAGTCTCCAGTCATATAAAACAAGTATATGATATAATAAAGATAATAAAAGTGGTGCTAAAATAAACGAAATTTATTTCTCTGAAATATTTACATGTGTACTTTGCAGCATTGTTAACATTTACTGTTATATGTTTTTATATATGTGTAATCTGCTTATTTCATTCTTTTCTTGGGAAAAGTTAGTTTGCCTTTTAAGCTTTTTGTATACAACTTCAGTATAATATGAAAAATGTCGGTCTTCAAAGATTCTCATTCATTTTTATGAATAACCAAAAATCAGATGATGCTAAATCTGGGCTATAAATATGATGAGGAATAAGCATGGATTTAGAGTTTCTTTTTATTTCCATTATTTGCGGATAATCTAATATCAAAAACTCTTATTACTGATCATTGTTTAATAATTAATTCAGAGAGCTCATGACTAATAAATGCTTTTACTCAAGAACATTAATCATTCAACAACAATAAGCTCATTTGTATTTCGCAGCTACAAATGCTGAAATGCTGTACAAACAGTTTTCTACATCTGTTGCTACAGTTTGTTACTTTAACCCTCTAAGCGGCAAGGCCATATATATACAGCTTGAAATATTTTTTGTGATATCTGTAAGAACGTTTATATGCATGCATATTAAAATATGTCAAAGAAATTAAGGCAATATATCAAAATTACACAAATCCAGATATGTAATACCAAGAGACTTTTTACATTAAAATAAAAAAAAATGTTCTCATGGTAGTTTTGGGAAATTTGTGCTTTCTTAGCGAAAACCGTGGCCGCTCAGAGGGTTAAAATAGGCTCAAAAAGTCTTTTCATCCTTCCTCATTTTCTACTGTTATGTTTTCATCACCACACATCACTTATTTCCTCCATCTCACCTGAGACTATAGTTCAAGCCTTTATTCATGAGCTTTTACAAAGCAAAACAGGCTAAAATGGAAATGAAGCAGGGAGAAAAAACACGGAATTTGACCATCTACTGCAGCTGTCATTACCAGGGTTTACAAGGCAAGGTGAGAAATGGGAGAACCCTAAAGCACCTATTCTAAGGTAACAAACTACAGTCAAAAGTTGTTAATTCGGACACCCATAATCCGGAATGATCTATAATCCGGACCTCAAAGCTAAAAACTTTCTGCGCATGTTCTGCGTTGGCACATGCGCACAGGAGTTTTACGCGTGCGCGTAAGACCTTGACTACTGCGCATATGCATGTGCGCAAGTGCAGAATACGTTTACGCCTGCACGTTTAATGTATAACGGACGGTGTAAGCTAAAATTATCTAATTATCTATTTCAGTTAATGTTAATGATTGCGTTGTTCCTTAATCTTCGAATTGGATCCCTCTTATTATTTTTTGCAGACTGTAAGAGCAATTTTATAAAAGTAAACTTGAACTTTCGATTATGTCAAATAAAATTTCCGATGCTGGAACTTCCAAAGGATCTACAAAACGAAAGTATTTTTCGATGTCCAACAAACAAAAAGTGGAATTGCTGCAAAAAATGGATAAAGACATGAAAAATGTGACAGAGAGGTTAGTGAAAACGAAAAAATTTCGATTGACAAGTTAGTCTGTATTCTCGGCACAGCAATTAACGGGACTTGAACAGCGCGGGACTTTGTTAAACAGACAAAATTATGTCTGTTTATAGAAATTAAAGAGAAAGTATTATCACATAAAATGAAAGCAACTTAAAAACTTACATTGAAAAAATGTTTAATAAAGTAAAAAACAATTTTTTTTTTTTTTTTTTTTTTTTTTTTTTTTTTGTAAATTTTGATACCCTTTTAGATCATAATTGTTCTTTATTTCATAAATTACGGTTTCATATTTTTAATTTTAGAATTTCTGCATGCCATCTTACGAGATTTAAACTGATGATCTATAATCCGGAAAAATCGATAATCCGGAAGCGCCGAAGTCCCGACGAGTCCGGATTAACGACTTTTGACTGTATAGTGATATCATGCATTAGAAGACTTTAATTATCAATTGACATATGTTTGTTAATTTAAACTAAATTAGTGTCTTGAGTTTTTATTATTGTAATGGGTATTATTCTGAAGTTTAAACTTATGTGATTTATAATCCTGATGAATAACTGAAGTCTGTGTTTCGTCATAGTTTTTAGTTCTAAAGCTACAACTCATTCAAGTTTAAAGATGGTCTGTTTAACAAAATAGCATTTTCTGTATTTTTACTGTAACCTTTTCATTACATTATGGCAGCTTTTAAGTGCAGATGTCAATGACATTTAAAAAACATAGCATTAACTTTTTATGCTGATAGGTGTCAGTTCGCGTTATTTTTGTGACTTCTTGGCAATTAATAAATGAAAATTCGTTAGTATCAATTTGACTGGGACTTGTTTTATGGTTTTATCTCTTTCATTTTTTTTGTAAATTTTAATATTTTTATGAAATTGGTTAGCAAGAGCAGCACACACTTGAAATTTTTCTCTTGATTTGAAAAAATATTTTGGTCAGTTTTGCCCTGATGTCATTTTACAACCGAACAGAATTCTGAAAGTAGGTGCATTTGTTTATTGGTTTGGTGAATAAGTATCACATTGTGACTTTGAATTTGAAACTTTTTACTGATATTAGTGTAAAATACTTTTTGATATAATCTACAGTTGCTGGACACCTATTTTCTCATAAACTGTTCCTTTGCAATTTATACTATTTCAACCGGATACTTACTTTTAGAAATTTTGAATTTTTGCTGTCTTAAATCAAATACAGTATAAAATCCGTAATCCGGACGTCCATTATCCGGAATGATCTGTAATCTGGACCTCAAAGCCACAAACTTACGCATACCCATGTGCACTTCTGATAGTGAAGAAAGTGACAGAGATGTTATTGAAAATGAAAAAATTTCGATTGACAAGTTAGTCGGTATTCTCGACACAACAATTACAGGACTTGAACAGTGGAACTTTGTAACTGAACAAGAAATTATGTCTGTTTATAGAATTAAAGAGAAAGTATTAGCACAAAAAATGAAGCAACTTAAACAACTTACATTGAAAGAAATGTTTAATAAAGTAAACAAATAAATATTAACCTTTTTTTTTTTTTTTTTTTGTAAATTCTGATACCCTTTAGATCATAATTGGGTAAAAGTATATTTTAGGGTACCCCTTGGCGAAACTTGGTAATTTTTGCCGGTACATGGATACAAGGTTTGTGCAATGCTTTGATTTGTTATTTTGGCCTGTGCAGCGGCGATTTTGGCGCTAAAAATTGCTGCTACGCAAGCCAAAATAACAAGTCAAAAATGACATAAACTCGGTATCCATGTACACATCGACCTATTTTCACTTAAAAAAAATCCTCGAATTGCACAAAAATGGCATTGTGCACTCCCTTCACTTTATCCATGTACACATCGACCTATTTTCACTTTAAAAAAAATCCCCGAATTGCACAAACTATGCTTTACGCACTCCCTTGAGTTTGTCCATGTACACATCGATATATTTTCACTTAAAAGTCAAAGGAGCACCCAATTCTACAGTAGAGGCAAACAAAAAATACATAATCTCAATAAGCTACATTTTATAAACCAAACAATAAAATAACACAAAAAAAAGGAAAAACCTGTTATGTATTTTAGCGCTACACAAAGCAAAAATCCCCTTACCTTATTTAGAAATTCATTCGTCATCAGTCTGGGGCACACAAAATTCATTAACAGCATCCAAAAACTTGCTAAAATTATCTGAACTGCAATCTGTATATCCGCATCGCTACAAAAATTCACAAAAATAAAAGTCAAAATATATATTACGTAGTTCCGGACTATGGCTACTAAGTAAACCTTCTTTTACGCAATTAATTCACTTAATTAATGCACTTTTCCTCTTTCGTTCCAAATCATACAAAAACTTCAAATTAATTCTTCTACATTCAACCATTGTACTTTCTAAACAATGAAACAAGCAATGTACTTCTTAAGCAACACACACCACAAAAGCCTTTGCAAAAGATCCCATGATTCAAAATTTCCCAGAATAATGCAAACGATTACGTCATAATAGGGTTTCCATAATGTTCAACTACTCAGGTTACCATAAATGATACAATGACTTCGCGAAAAACGAAACAACAACTTGGCGATAAATGAAACAACAACTTCGCGATAATACAAGGGGTACCTTAAAGTCAACTCTACCCCATAATTGCTCTTTATTTCATAAATTACGGTTTCATATTTTTTAATTGTATACTTTCTGCATGCCATCTTACCAGATTTAAATTGATGATCTATAATCCTGAATCGCTGATGTCCCGACGAGTCCGGATTACGGACTTTGTACTGTTTTTGTATGCTGTATTTACTCATATATTTCTTCCCCTTATATAATCTCTTCCAGCATTTAAGTATATGATATAGAAACTTCTGGTTTTATCATAGCAGTGTAAAAAGTTTGGGGGGGACCTTCTGTGGGAAAGAAAATTATTGAAATTAATAATTGTAGTTTATTTTTTTAATACAGAATAAAGTAATATTAGTATATCCATACCTATATCCACTTCAGGCTGCTATGTTCTTCATTTAACCCTTTCCCTCATAAATGATGTACATCATGTAATCTTCACCTCTTGGCTTTGAAAAAAGGGAGGGGTGAGGGAGTGGGCAAATAGGTATATCATCTTAATATCTTAACTGCCTTTGTGTATTAAAAAAAAGTACAAAGACTTACAGAACATGTACTGCTGAAAATTATATAAAATAAAGGCCATGTGATAGTTGATGATTTTTATCATTTTTTAAATGTTAATCAGGCCCACCAGCGGCCAAGCGGTAAAGTCCCTGAACACTGGTAGTTCGGTCCGAGGTTCGAATCCCGCGAACGGGCTGGCTGCATGGGCGTTTTTGTGGTTTTCCCCATGTGTAACGTGTAT